GTGTAGTCTTCACGCAGAGAATAATAGATCACACACGAAGATGATCGGTGCACAAGTCTACGATTCATTATGCACCGGCCACGCGCAATGGCCAATCTTTACGCTCGATCGTACCCGGAGCGGGATAACTGTCATTATTAACACTTCTGCGAGAAATGTGTAAAACTAACTGTAAACGTAATAACCGTTACGCGAGATTTGTGTGACGCCTACTATTTGCTTAAAGCGTGTGTGCTCAAAATATCAAGCGTCGATTATCGAGACGTATTGACAAATAGAGACTAACGTTATTTCCTTCTTACGAGTCATATAACGATGTGACATATGCGTGAAAGAATTTTCCGCAAATCTGGGTTTAATCCTGCAATTCCGGTTGACTTTAATTTCAATTAGAATATACCGTGGAAATTTAATTGGAAAGTACTTTTATTTATATTTTTTTCTATTTATATAATTCTCTTTAGTTTAATTAAAAAGTAATTTTTGCAAGTGGCTCGGACTTGCGTTGCTTGCAGAAAAATTGATAACATAAAAAAATGCGCTTCCATATTCATTATCGCACTTGTGCAACAATGATCAGAAGATCTTTGTCAGGCGTGAGTGCATCAAAAATAACGAATCGACGTCATCACCTGTCCGTAAAATGAATTGCCAGCGTCCTCAAATGCTCGTCACATTGTATGTTAATAAAACTGTGTAAGTACTTAATAAAAATGATTAACTGCTGTCGCACATTGATGGAAACAGCTCACAAAAGCTCTCGTTATCCGTTCTTTAATCTGAGAAATTTTGTGCCATATACTCTATCAAGATCATCTACGGTGCATTGAAGTAATTTGCGTTACTTTTTTTCGAGTGTAAAGAATGAATTTTCGACATCCGATTGTTTTAATCATACGCGCACGAGCGTAGTTTTGTATATCGGCGAACTTGCACGGCATGTCAAGTAAACCGGAAAACATAATGTTATCTCTACTCCTTAACGACGATATCTTTATGCGTCGTCTACAATGCACGGAGTAAGTCTGAAGTAAGGTGTAGGAGTGAGGAAATAAATACATTTGATTTCTTACTCGTACTTGAGCTCTCGCGCTTACTCTCGGTGAATCAGAACAAGAATATTGGTCTAATATTGATACAACATTAAACCAATATTGGGCCAACATTGGGAAGACTAGATTTACATTATCTCCCAATATTGCACCGATATACAGGGTGATTCAGACCACCCGTACAGCCCCTTTATTTCGGAAATAGAACATTTTAGAGAAAAATGTTTCAGGCAAAAGTTATACGGTTTTAAAAGGGCTATATAATGAAAAAATAAATTTTCGAAAAAATAAATTTTTTATGGTTATATGGAGGTCGCTGTCATTTTTTTAAATGGAACTCCCTATTGTTTATTATACTATCTTATTCTACTAAATAATATGAACAACTTTTGTCTGAAACATTTTTTTATTTGCCTACTACTTTTTGAGATATTCAAGAGAAAAATTATAACTTTTTACATGTTTAGCTTATAATATTTCGATAACTGTTTGTCGGAGGGAAAAGTAGTACAGGACTTTTTTACTTGATTTAATCTCAGCTTTAATATGCTATTGCAATGGTTTATGTATTGTAACACATAAAATTTACATACACAAAAATTTTCAATAATTGAAACACCATTGCAACAGCATATTCCTGAGACTAAATCAAGTAAAAAAGTCCTGTACTACTTTTCCCTCCGACAAACAGTTATTGAGATATTATAAGCTAAACATGTAAAAAGTTATAAATTTTGTCTTGAATGTCTCAAAAAGTATTAGGCAAATCAAAAAATGTTTCAGACAAAAGTTGTTTATATTAATTAGTAGAATAAGATAGTATAATAAACAATAGGGAGTTCCATTTAAAAAAATGACAGCGACCTCCATATAACCACAAAAGATTTATTTTTTCGAAAATTTATTTTTTCATTATATAGCCCTTTTAAAACCGTATTACTTTTGCCTGAAACATTTTTCTCTAAAATGTTCTATTTCCGAAATAAAGGGGCTGTACGGGTGGTCTGAATCACCCTGTATTGTGCTACTTGGGTATGAACGAAAGGAGAGATAAAGGGAAAACTATTCAAAATATGCGCGATACGACAGAGAGGAAGATAAAATCATTATTATTCACCGTCTGTGAATGTTGCATATCGAGGACGCTGAAAATCTTTACATTTCGGGCGATTAAGGAACGCGCGCTCAAAAACAGGAAGACCGACATACATGCGCGCGTGTGATTATACACATATGACTTCTGACATTGTGAAAGATCGCTGTGTATTAAGCGATCATTAGATGCTCTCGTAACTCCACTCTGCCTCGTTACATTACCGTGCATCATAGCGCACGTCTCCCTTGCGGCTTCTGAAATATTTCATTATTCTTATCGCGGGCTTAATTAGTCATTACCCGGTAGCCCCGCCGCTCGATATTATACAGACCCATACTTGGTCGTGTGATATTAATAGAAGTAATTTGTACAGAATGTGTTAGCGCAATTGGGCTTTCCATTGATATTAATACGCAGACGAATGCTGTATATCTTGTCTTTCTATTGCAAGATCGATATAAAGACAATTTACAATGGAAATTGTCCGTGTGAAAAGTATTACGTCCTATTCCTAATTTTTAAGTCCTATATCTAATATTGTTTCTTGAGTTCTTGAGAATCGCGAATAAATAAAAAATTCGCGGGTAAATGAAAAATTCTAATGTTATAAATAATTCTTTCACTTCTGCAACGTTGAGTTTTGAATTTTTGCGTATTAGAAGTCCTGAATTTTCATAATTTAATCCTACCAGAAGGACTTTCGCTTAGCGGAAATTGTCATCGTGAAAAGCATCATAATATTGCGCGCAACAAAGTAAAATTTATTGCGCCTGCTAACGTAACATCGTTGACATTTTTATTCATATTTCTGTGCAACGTGTCACACGTTAAAATCTTATATTTCTTTAGAAAAGATCACGAGAGCTTTGCTTTTGCCGCGTCCGGATGAAATATCGATGAAATCGCCGGTGAATCAAAGTTCAGAGATCTCACGGTGCGCAAAGTGAAATTAGTTAGGTAACGACTAACTTTCCGTAAGTCATCTTCAGTCTAGAATGTCTAGCATAATTTTACAATGGAAAACGTAATTGATATAATAGATTTTAAGCGCAATCAGGCAACAAGGTATATAATCGGCTTCAACAGGTATCCAGCATATTCCGTTGGATATCTTATAATGACACGTGGCGAGTAAAATTTTTTTATCTGTCATGTATCGAATATGCAACCGAGCGATCATCCACAAGTCACGTGCAACTCTCTACAGATACATTTACACGAAGTGAAAGCATTTACGGACATCTATGAATATATATTATACCGCAGAACCATTAGTTGTCCTCTTTTCAGATATATGTTTCTTTATTAAATCAAAATTCGCGGCGGCTAATAAAATATTTTCTTTTAATTTAAATGATCTTTTCTCCTTTTTACAAACCTGCGGGGATTTATTTAGCTGAATACGACTCGCAGCGGGTAATTCATTACTTAAAAATATATATCTATACAGCTTTGTTTTAATTATAGAATTAATATTCAAGGCTTAATTTTTAATTATTCCAAGTGTCACAGTGTAAACGTTTACACAATGCAACAATTCTTCCATGAGAATCTAAACGTAACCGTTGTATCGTGGCGTTAAAAATAACGCGATCTAAATTATGCAACTTGATATAAACGCGATGCTATACTGTAAAACGAAGAGGGTTTATCTATTCGTTATCGAAAGTCTACTCCGAAACAATCGCGCAGAATAAGCGTAATAGCTATTATGTTTCCTTCGGGTATGTGCTATATCTTTGAGCAATCGTAGCTCCACATCACTGAAACGAAGCGCGTCCAGTATCGCGGCTGCTTGTAGCGATCGGATGTGCATATAAACCGTTCACGATATAAAACTACGTACGAATTTCTTACTGCGGAGCGACCGGATCTTTTCAACTCAACAGTGTATGGCATTTTTCAAAAGATATTACTTTCACGATTGCAAGAAAGAAGATATAAAATAAATGATCATACGACAGTGACGTGTTATCTCTTGGATTTCTTCTTTTAAATAATTGGCATAAGTGTCACTTACAAATAAAATACCATGAAAAATCATTTGCCTGGAGATTACGTCACTTACGTAATTTCATTTTTTTTCTATTTCTATTCATATTGTTACTGCGGAACAAAAATTTACTTACGGTGCAAAATCACCTATTCGCACACTGACAAAAATATTTTCGCTACCGTAGCTAATCATGATTTGATAGAAATATTGCAAACGGTTTGCCATTGCACCTAAAAAAGGCACAGTAGCAAAATATTTAGCTATCACAACTAAATATTTGCTGTCTATATTTTACAATTGAAATTTAGTTACCGCATGTAGTTTTTAGTTACATTTTTTCCCCCGTGCATTTATGTTACATCAACGAACCGGAAAATTTCACATAAAATCATTTATCGCGTATTACTCGATGTAATACGCGATAAGTGATTTTATATGAAAGTACTTTTCTGTGTTGAAGCTTACGAGAGTATCGGAGCGTAATTTTCCAGCCCGACCCAAACGTATGAAATAACGTTATCGTCGCGTTGCGTGGCTCGGTTCCAGCGCGGAACGTACGTTTCAATAACCCAATTTTGCACATTCGTGCCGGCCATAAATATCTAATAATGAGTACGCGTTATTCGTACGTATTCTCGTTCCCCATCGCCGGTGATTCGAGCCCCACTTTGGCATCTTTACTTTCTAAACGCGAGACAGAATATTATCTTATCTTTCGTCCGGCTAAAACACACTGGTACCGATTGTACACGTGGCGCCCGATGGTGCACGCGAAGGGTTCACGACAGCTGGCGAACAGCCGTTCCCTACGCGAGCGAAGCAACCCCCGTGAACCACCCTCCGTCACAATACTCACGTCTTAGCAAATCGATCGTTCGAATCAGCGGCGATCTCGCGTTCCCCTTCGTCTCGGTGGGCAGCGAGACAGGTGGTTGGTTCTCGCGAGGGGTTGTTCTATCGACGCAGCGGAGTGTAGGAAACCCTACGTTGACAGCCGTGGCTAGCCCCGTTCCCGCGACGTCGGACGAGCGAATTGTCTCGCGCGAATCGATCCAATTCGGTCGAATCGAATTCTCGGGGCACTTCAACGGCGGTGTGTACGCGTGTCGAAGATGAGATCGCGGGTCGCGTCGTGGGACGAAAAACTACCTCTGAAAAGCGCGTCCGAACAGTTCGGGGGTTCGGAGACAACTGAACCTGCCTGACTGTCGGCGGACTTTGGAATCGGTGAGCGGTTCGCCGTTCGGTTCTCGGTTCGCCGATTCTCGGCTCCGCGGGTTCGTACGCGCGAGTCGCGGCCGTCGTTTTCTCTCTGTACACGCGGCACACGGTGCACCTTCGTTCGCTCCTACCCTACCTCCCTTTTCTTCTTCTCCTCCTCCTCCTCCTTTCCACCTCTTCAAAACCCCTCTCTTTCTCTCTCTTTCTTCTTTCTGTCTCCACTCTGTGTCTCTTCTGTGTCACTGGCCGTGCCGTGTCGCCGTCAAGTGTACAGCAGGTAGCCCCACGCATGCACGTGCGTATTAAATCTCTTGCACACGCACGAGACCAAAATCGCGCGTGTACCCGACGCGACGTATCCTCCCGCCATTCCTTACCCACTTGTCCATTTTCGAGCCCTCTCCTCGATATTTCATTTAATTTTATCAAACATTGCTGCTCTCCAATTTTGTAAAATTACCCAAGGCAGTATACAACGCAATCTATTCGTATACTTATAAAATTTGCATAAGAATTATTTCCAATGTTATGTAACTTGGTAATTATTAATTCTCCTCAACTGTTTCACAGCCGTCATCTTCCTCAGTTCAATTCCGATATTCGTGAGCGAAGGGCACGGGTGTGTTCGTTAACTTTTATATGCGATCGCGATGTGTCATTGCGATACGTACATATTATATTAAACACGAAAATAATCCACAACAGTCCAGGATAAGACGATTGATGTAACACATAAATGGCTTATAGTTGCCTTCGGAGACGTCATTACACGAAGCATCAAGCGGAAAATAATGAGTCGGAAGATATGTGATTGGATATATGCTTGATTACATCGCATCTGCCCGCTTGAATGTGAAGTTTATTGTCGTGCGAATTTAAAACAAACGGGAAAAGCTCCTATTAATTCTGAAAAATTAAACAACACAGGTCACACTTTCACGAACAGAAAAACGAAAGTTTTACACTGGTAAAATGACTGCGTTTCACGTGTCACTGGGTCACTGTGTTTTCCGGCGATGGAGAACTTTTTCCTTGGCACGTAGATTACTTTCGACAAAGCGGCGTGGCGAAAGACAGTGCTCGGATGTCAAGGATAAATAATTAAAATAATCAAGCCGCGTTATTAAAGTGCTCAGCCAATTTTAGCAAATCGCACACCTACAATATTATCGCACGTTGCGTGTCTACAAGGATAATAAAATAGAAATGATGAAAATAACGATGACATTTCAGCAATGATAAACCGCCTGGGACCCGGTTTTTCATTTGCTGGTTAAATGTTAACCAGAAGTTAGTCGATTATTTTCTTCTTGGATAATAATATAGAAAAAGACTCGACTAACCTCTGGTTAACAGTTAATCAGAAAATGAAAAACCGGGCCTGAGAGACGAACTTGTGTGCGCAGTGATACGGTTCAAACAAATGGAATATATTTGAAAATGTACACAGTAAAAAATCGTGCGTTCAAATGTTAAAATTTTCTTGTGTTACCAAGATTTGATTCTCACTTCAATGTAAAATTAACATAAAACGTACATGTCATTATTTTCGTAACACTTTTACGTGTTATATTTATGTTAACGTAATAACTTGACGCTTTATGTATGTTACTTTAAGATTGAATATTACTTTGAGGTCTTTTAACACAACTGTTTCACAAAATCAACCAAAACGTGTAATATCGATATTTCTTCAAAATTATTTCAACTATTCTGATTTGTAACTACTCGTACTGTTTACTTATCCTGTCTGTTTTTATTACATCACACTTAAGGTTGAAAGAACACAAACATAAATGTGAAATATAACGTTGATTAATTAACATCTATAATTTGTCAAAAAGTAACACACGCGATAAATGTTATTTTAACTTAAAATTTAGAGTGGACGTTTTGGGACATGTAAAAATGTTAACATTAACATTTCGTTTTTTTACTGTGTATTGCTGTTGAAAAGGCGTTTATACAAAGTTTATACAATTTTCTCGCAATTAACACCAAGTACTCGTAACTCCGAAAGTGTAGCAAGTAGTTTGTACAATGGACTTTATCACGAGCATTCAAAAATGGCCAAAATGAAAGAACAATTGACCGATTCGGCTGTTAATCGCGCACAATAGTACGACAATTTAGTGTAGGTGCTAACAATGCGTTAGCGAACGTTGAGCTGGAAAGACATACCGGTCTCTCGAAAAGGGAACGACGGGTCGCCCGGTAAGGCAACTTCTTACTGCTGGTGCTCGAGGGGGAACTAAAGTTCACCGGATCCTTTGCGCACGACAACACAATACGTTTCTTAGGTAGCCATACACCGCCCGCGAAGAGAAGAGGCTTCTTCCCGTTATCGGCGATGCCGCGACACGGACGCGCCTCAGAAATTGCAATCGCCGATCGCGAGTTGCACCGTGTTGTATCGCGGCCGCGCGAATACTCGGAGGATCCTGTTCCGAGACAGTACTTGAAGATTCGCTGCCGCGTGACGTCACGCGAGACGACCTGAGGCATCAAGTAGTGCTGATAGGCCGTCGTCCTCCCTACTTTCGGAGAGCAGATTGTTAAGATAGGATAAATGCGTGCATTAATTATCTTATCTAAAGGTTATTCTACTAAACACGCGATGAATAGTCGAAAGACAATACGTCTGCGCCTGTTATCATCGTGTACACAAGCGTGAGAAATGTTTGTGCATTGCCTGTTAGAAAATAATACGTGTGCAAATGTTTGTAAAATAAATGTCCCTTTTAATAATACAATTTTCCGCGATAATCGTTAATTTTCATTAATTGATCTTAATTAACTTTATTGATTGTATGAATTTTAATATGAAGAATTTATCATCGTGTACACAAGCGTGAGAGATGTTTGTGCATTGCCTGTTAGAAAGTAATACGCGTGCAACATTTGTAAAATGAATGTTTCTTTTAATAATATAATTTTTGCGATAATTGTTAATTTTTATTAATTGATCTTAATTAACTTTATCGATTGTATGTACAAATTTTAATATGAAGAATTTATCGTTACATATTTATAATTATACGACGCGATCTGGTGGCTTCGGGCACGACGCTAACGTGCATTTTAATAGAATGCATTCGATGGCTGCTCGGTCACATATCATTACTCATTATTTTCTGGTAGTTTCGTAACGTTTCTCTAAGCATAGTGATCTGCTGTCGGACGTACGCCTTCATTATCTTTTGCTAGCGCACGTGGTTATTAGTGTCAATTACGTGACTCCTATCGAGCTGAGAATCGAGCTTTTTCATTTCGATCAGGAGAATTGTGCACGAAAGGTATTGCTTTCATTCTCTTTTCAATTATCATAAGACTTTTTGTTGGCACAACGATGCCCATCACGTGTGAAACACGCGGAACACATCGGCAAGAATGGCAGCCGACCGTTCGCCGCATACGAAACGTACATGAAACGGTCAGATGTCATCGGTTTTTTCCATGAGGCAATAATCGATATTGATGTACTGTATCTAAATGCAAGGTGAAAGAGTCACATATATTTTACATGCCGGTTACGTACGCACAGACCACTTCTCCTTGATTGTTGTCTTTCTTTGTCCTTTTCTATGTTGTTACCGTGGCATCGTATCAAGAATCGCTACTGCTCTTTAAGCGCCTGTAATTCTAATCGACCTAAGGCAACCACGCGCGTTGCTCGTTATTGCGAAGTCTTTCAATGTCCACCTTTGAACACAGAATCTTATAATAAAAGCTTGGAATAGTAGAATAAGATAAAAATGTCTCACATTATGACATGACAAATTTATATAATTTTTAAACTCATATTAAATTGCCATAAATTCCAATTTTATACCAAAATTTATCGGAGTCATATAACTAAAAAAATTACAACATAATACACCGAAAAGATACAATCGAATAATGCACATGATTTGTGTATGGATTACTTTAACGCTTATTTGGTTGATTAACCTCGTCATGATTAACCTCGTAATTCAAAGTTCTCGCCACAAGCGTCAATCATATCTTTAATATCAACACAATTGACGACTTTCACCAAACGAAGTTGAAACGGAATAAGATATTTCATCGCGATTCTATTTGTCGCGTGATCGATCGGACAATACTTTCTCCGCGATGTTTTCCGAGCCTACCATCAGATGAGACGTGAGATTTTTCGGATGGTGTCTATCTATCCGTGCTCACTTATCGAGTGTATTAATTTAATTTTTTTATTTCGTCACCGTTATCGTTGTGCGGGTTGGTGACTAGCAGCCGAGGCGTATCGTCGTGTCGTGTGTCACGTCAACGTCACCGTGCAAACAAATCGTAAAAGGATATTGTTGTCACCAGGTAATTCGCTTCAAATAAACTACTGTTTGAGATTTACCTCGGATTTATTAGCAGTCAGTTGTAAGTCAGTCCAAAAGAAGGACAGGAGCACGGAGTGGCAATGAGCGAAATGGTATTCATGATATTTCGCATAAATAGCGCGTCATAATAATCACCTGCTAGCTGAATCACGATCGGCATTGTGCGGTCGAGCGTGCAACCAAAGGCGTGTTTGCAGCTTGATCGGCGATCCTTTAAAATGCGATTTTCAATCGGAATTTCATAATGTTTGTACCGAAAATGGGATTGTAAAGGTCCACGATGGACACTCTTGAGAAAAACTTTTGGTAAACAAATTTGCATATCTTTATAGACGCATCTAGTGCGTTACCTGCGATTATTGATCGGTGTAGGTCAGTTTTTCTTACTTTGGCTGGCATCGAGTTACAATGAAAAGAAATTTGCTTTTATTTTAATTATAATTGCTGTTTTATTAAAATCTCTCGGATTTTTAACTATCGAAAGATAGAGCTTTGTGAAAAAAAATTAAAAACTATATTGATTTATATAAATATGTATGGTAAATATGCATAAAAAGACCCCACCTTCCGATGATCTTGATCTTGACATATGTTGTCAAGGACACCCTCCTGAGTAACTCTTAGAAGTTTTTAGCCGGCGGTCGTTATTCGTTAGAAAGTTATTAACAAAAAAAGTTTGGGTAATTATGTATAAAAGCGACTTTCTCTCCGATTTGCTTTATTTTTAAATATGTTGT